CAATAACTTATCAAAAAGAAGATCTTAAATTAGGACAGTCACAAGCTCATAAACCAGACAAAATTAGAGCAGCAGCCATTTTTCACCTCACAGTATAAGCATAAAAACCTTAATAAAGTAACATCAAATATCTATTAAATCTATAAAATAACAAATACATATTAATTATTACTCAAATTATTATTTCAGTTGTTCTTAATGTATCAAGCATCCATATGCAAAGAAATGCCAAAAACTATTTATTATTAAATGAAGATTTGAAAAATTTACTTATTTTTATTTTAACATGTAGAAAAAAATGTCAAATCTAATTATGCAATTATCACTCTTCCTCATATGTTCCCCCTCTTTGACATATTGTTACGTCTTTGGTTGTTTCCTAATTTCCCGTATAATTTCTTTGGATGAAACTTCAGCGATACAAGTCTTTTCTTAAATAAAACTAGTTTATTCTTTCTCAATTCAACTTTGCAATACACTTAATTTCCACAGTCACTTTAACTTAAACACATGCTATAATTCACAACGAACGATTCACGCACTTTATTTGCGCTCACTACCGCGCTTGACTCAATTGTCCACCTCTATCTCTGCCTGTCTGCAATTATCTATGCTGTCACTGCTTTTGCCGGCTTATATATACAAAAACAGAGGGCGCGTAGAGAAGACTAGAGTTGCCAGATCCTTCGGACATGATCCTTCTAGAATCTCATGACGTATTACTAGCGTCAGGTGACTTCCGCTGTCTTAACATTATGATAAGAAGTCTACTGAAGTCAGCTTTGTACCAGGAGACAAGGTGTAGTTGTATAAACCCAGGAAGACAAAAGGGAAGTCTCCTAAGTTGTCTTCTCCATGGGAAGGCCCATATGACATAGTGGACCGTCTCTCAGACGTGACTTTCCGAATAAAATGTGGTCGGCGAGGTAAGCCAAAGGTAGTGCATGCCAACAGGCTTTGGCGTTATCATGGTCCAGGACATTTTAATTGTGATGAAGGGAACAATGGAACAAAAGATGCTGCTGAAGATGTGTCACCTGGAAAAGCCACTGTCGAAGAAGAAATTCTACCTGGTTTTGAGAATGGAAACTGTGAAGCCCTTTATGAAGTTACTACCACTGATGTGACTATTACCGATAATAGGACAATTCCTGATGGAGCAGATGAACCTCACGTAAAGCAGAAGGCAACGAGACAGAGACCAGTACGGAAGAAGATACGTCCTGTAAAATTAAGAGACTTTGTTGAATTTTTATTTTGTGTTTGTAAGTTCTGTACATTTAATTAAGTTATTGCTAATTGTTTATTGGTTTAATTTAAGTGGTTATTGTTCGGGAAGAACAATACTAGGGAAGGGGCAGTGTTACGACAGCGAAAGTCAAGTGACGCTGGTAACACGTAATGAGTATCTCGAACGTTCCTGAAGGCTCGAGTGTTTTCAGACGCCCTCTATTTTGTATATATAAGACTGGAGAGAAGTGACGGCATAAATGACTGAATAGCAGACAGGGAGATAGAGACAGATAATCGAGTCAAGCCGTAAGTAAATTGTGTAAATCATTGTGAATTATAGCGTGTGTTTAAGTTAAAGTGATTGTGGAAATTCTGTGTATTGCAAAGTTGTATTGAGGAAGAATAAACTAATTTTTTTAAGAAAGGGCTTGTATCGCTCAAGTTCCTCGGGAAGAATTTTTACGTAACAGTATGAACCTAGGCTGAAACATGTATGTTAGGTTCACGGTGTGAGCCTAGGCTGAAACGTGTATGTTAGGTTCACGGTGTGAGCCTAGGCTGAAACGTGTATGTTAGGTTCACGGTGCGAGCCTAGGCTGAAACGTGTATGTTAGGTTCACGGTGCGAGCCTAGGCTGAAACGTGTATGTTAGGTTCACGGTGCGAGCCTAGGCTGAAACGTGTATGTTAGGTTCACGGTGCGAGCCTAGGCTGAAACGTGTATGTTAGGTTCACGGTGCGAGCCTAGGCTGAAACATGTATGTTAGGTTCACGGTGCGAGCCTAGGCTGAAACATGTATGTTAGGTTCACGGTGTGAGCCTAGGCTGAA